TTGAGGGATTATATGGGTGGTTGTCAAAATTATGGTCCCTTTTTGGATCCCTATTATAGTACGGCACCTAATATTTAGGGTACCCAAAAAGGGATCATAATTTTGACAACCACCCATATGAGCCATGGTCTAAACTCCTAGTATCCCCTTTAATAAGCCCTATGGTAGTGCCCTATATAATCCACTATATAACCCCCTTTAAGGAGTTTGGACTACAGTACATATAGGGTTCTTACTAGAGGGCTTATTGAGGGGGGGTGCTAGGAGTTTAGACTATAGGTTATAGATGCGTATATACAACTCTAGAATCAATCAATTCAGCTGTTATTATACATGAATCTGAATTCAGTAGCAGCAACCCAGTAAATCCCTTCTGGAGGCACTGGCCTGCACCGTTCTCTCGCCAATCATCATGCCATCCACCTTCTCGATGGCCTCGCTGTCGGCCAAAACAACATGGGTTTAGGGTTTAGGAAATTTAAGGGGGACAGGGTTTAGGGTTTAGGTGTTGAGGGTGTGGGGTTTGGGGGAATATCATCCCCGATAAGCGGGAATCAACTGGACAAGAAAATGGAAAATTAAATGGCAGCTTGGGATCTATTGGACTTTACACGGGTCACAATGTTGTATCCCTTTTTCTTTTCCCCAATATAACCCTCATGTTACCCAATATTTGGAATTTACACGGATTACAATGTAGAGCCCCAGCATGACATCATCAACAACACTAGCAAAACGGTCATCGTAGTTGTCATGTAAGAAGAGGGTCAGACTGATCATAGCCCACCACCATCACAGTCATGACCATACAAGGTCACAGTTAGTGCAAAGTAGACAAGGTTAGTGGCATGAGCACTTGTAGTAGCAGCGCACGAGAAAAGAGAAGGCAAGAACAGCAACAGACGGCTTCACGATGACCCGTCAACGAAACCAGCAAACCACCAATGGCAAGTTATCAAAATTGCGTGCCCCTTTCGTTTCGTTCTGGACTTATGATAGTTTCCCAAAATAAAGGGACCCAAATGCAGACCCTATAGTCCTCATCATAGGGATCCCCAACCCTAAGCTCTTTGGGAAACCCAAAAATGAGATTTTTTTCGCTCTTGCCGGACCCTACCCTAAACGCGTCGTTCATGCAGAGCGCCTGCTTAGCAGCCTCCTCCGTCTCGTAATGGACAAAGCCGTAGCCTAAGGCGTTTCAGTACTGAAAGTGAGGATCACGTCATGCGAAGCCAGCACCCAAACCAAAGAGTGGATTTAGGACTCCTATACTGTGTGCATGCACTCGTTCCTCGCTGTAATCCCTGCAGTCAAGGAACCGTAAGAGTTTCCAGTTGGGTCAGTTGCCACCTGGCACCGTCACCCAAGATTGAACAAGCCTCATACTGATCTAAGGAGCTGGACATGGTGGCTTGGCTGAAGATACTTGTGAGTCCTTCACAGCGCTCTTTCGTTCTTCCACCATCTTTTTCCAGCATCGCCCCCCAGCACCATCGTGGGTAAGCTCTCTGTGGCGAGATAAGTACATCGCGCCTTGCACGAGAGAATGTTTCCGAACAGGCTGAAGGTGTCGTAGAGAGCCTGTGCAAGGCGGAGGCAGGTGGCTAGGCGGCCTCACAGAGAAATAGATTGCACAACACCTGCTCAAAAAGGGAAGTTACCCGCACTGAAATTCCAGGGCTGCAGGGACCTTGTTGTCAATGTTCTTATCCAGGTTCTTCACGTAAATGTTACCCGCACCGCTCTTGCGGAGGCTGGGGTCTCGCTGACTCCACATGATACCTCGGGACTCACACTAATGAAGCTGAAGCCTAGAATCCTAGAGAGGCAAGAAAAGAGGTGATAGCAAAGGGAGGACAGAAGTAGAGACTGAGTTGCATGATGCAGGCCTTGAATGACAACCATCACATCCAGGTAATCACAACCACAAGAAAACGAATCATAGTACTTAGATACTACTATGACAAGCAGAAAAGGATTCAAGAAAAAAGATGTCCGGTTGCCAACAAGCTGCGGCAGGAGCGGCCTTTGATGCTGGAGTAATTCAAGGTGTCCAAGGCTCGCTCGGCATCGGACCTGGTCCCGCTTACAAGGCAAAAACTGGGTTGCTGTTAAGGAACTTAATTTAAGTTACCATAATGGGTATATATGGAAATTTATAGGGTTTCCCCAATATAGCAACTTAATTTAAGTTCCTTAAGAGCAACCCAGAAAAAGTAGACTCACAGGCTCATAGATTGGGTCATTCCTCCTTACAGTAACTGTTACCACAATGGGTCATAGGAGTTATAAGAATCCCCTTAATAAGGCCCCTTTAAGGACAGTTACTGGGAGGGGGAATGACCCAACTCATAGACTCTCTTGGGAGTCTGGTAGCTTCCCACAATAAGGGGACCCCAATATAGACCCAATATACTATAATCCTGATTAAGGGGACCCTTAAAATGGTACCCCTAATTTTGGGAACCCCCATCTCTACATACCTATACTGGAGTTGAAGTGTCAGGTAGTAGACGGAAGGTTTGAGGAGTTATCTTCCGGATAGGACAATCTTGAATCTAGCTAACTACCCTATAATCACAGTTTCCATTTCAT